ATGCTCATGAATAAAATTGTGAAGAATCATACAAGGAACAACCACCATTTTTTGCTTCCACACCGGGTAGTTGAGCATCTTGTATAGAATTTGCCACTTCATTTTCAAAACATCAAAAGACCTCTCAATAATATTTTGAATAGAAGAGTGAATGTGATTGAATTTTTCCTTAGACGTTTTGGGTTCCATACCTCTATGCCACTCCGGCATATGACATCTTTCACCAGTCGACGAAATCTAGTCGGCAGTCTACCGAGGGGTATACCCACGGTAGTAGATGATCGGTGGAGGTGCGCGTAATAGAAACCGGATGGTGACACGGGCGCAGAGACAGCGGTTTAGACAGGTTCAGGCCATCTGATCGACGTAATACCCTACTGAAAGGGACCGTGACGCCTAAGAGGGGGGTTGAATTAGGCAACTTAAAACTCTAACTCTAGACTATGGCCTCTTTTTCTATCCTTAGCAAAACCTTTACAAAAGATAAACTATCTAAATGTGCAACTACGGTTTTGCTAGTATGTTGCTATCTCTACCGCAAAAGGAGTTATGCAACCTAGGTTCCAAACCTATCAACTAGCCTATCACTAAGCTAGGAAAGTAAAGCACACACCAAGATTGCAATGTAAATACGGAAGCTAAAGAGTAAGGTAGAGATATACAAACTCCCGTCGATGACTCTGGTATTTTTACCAAGGTATCGAGAAGCGCGCAAGCTTCCCCCTAGTCCTCGTTGGAGCCCCTCGCAAGGACCAAGCTCCCGGTCGGGTAACTCCGTGGATAGCCTCGGGCCTTCCCCATGCGCAAGTGGGTCTCCGACATGCCTTCTAGCAATCCCCTCCCGGATGCTCCCCGCCGTCTTCACTATCAAGCTTTCGGCCAAAACGCCGCGGGCCTTGTTCCCTTCGGTACACGGTGGCGGCCACACCACAAACGCGGTTGGTGTGATCTCGCAAGACTACAAGCCCCTCCGATGTACAACAATGGTGCGCGCAAGCAACGAGTGATAAGAGGTATGCAAATCTCACTAAACACTAGGCTAAACCTAGAGCAAGCGCATAAGCAGTGGTCTAATCAACCTAAGCACTTCGCAAAGCACCTACGCTAATCACCTAATGAATCACTAAGCACTATGCAAGTAAAGATCACTAAAATGGTGTATCAACACCCTTGATATGTTTTCTCAGTTCTCCACATCTCAAATGGCCGGTTGGGGGTCTATTTATAAGCCCCACCGAGAAAGTAGTCGTTGGGGGTGAAACCCAGCTTTCTGCTACTGACCGGACGCTGCTGTCGTCCTGACCGGATGTGTCCGGTCGTCCCAACCGTTAGAGCACGTGCGTTGATTGGACTCTGGGCCGACTCCAGTCTTCATCGATTGGATGCGTCCGGTCGCGCTGGCGCCGCTCTGGAACTTTTCTAGACTCGATCGGACGCCACTGCCTGGCGCATCCGATCGTCCACAGCCACTGTGTCTGGTCATGCTGAATTATTGTCGCTATGATGAACAGTGAAGTCCATACATCCGGTCACTACCTCGCTCAGCGTCCGATCGCAGCTGCTGACGCCTGCTGTTGCCGATCAACTGATTGAACGCATCTGGTCACTCATAGGGCTGCATCCGATCACCTCTGTGTAGCTCATTTCTTCGTGATCTTGCGTCTAGCTTGGTTTCCATCTTCATGTTTGGACTTTGTTTGAAATCTTGGGTCTTCTCTTATGCTTCTAGGGTCTTGCTTATGGTGTTGATTATCGGATCATCATGTCGCCTTCGTCCAAGTCACGTCTTGCACCCTATTGAACTACAAAACAATTACTTGTAAATTCATTAATCCAATTTGGTTGTGTTGGTCATCAAACACCAAAATCAAAAGTAAATGGGTCTAAGGTCCATTTTCCTTACACCTACGTCGTGTGTCTTTGGTTGATTGTATTGAATATGAGATGAATTCGAGGGGGATCCCTACCCGCCTTATATAGTCTGGGGGTAGGGTTACAAGTCGGTTTAGGCCTAGATCTATCTGGTTGTATAGTAAGTATTTACAAAGAATACGATATTTATCATATCCGAAAAGATCTTCCTTCATCGCCAAGATGTCTTCTAATTGCCTTGTGGTGCACGCCGACCAGAACTGGGCACCGTAGGCCTTGATCTTATAGGCTGGACCTCCCTTGGCGGTGCGGCCCATATCCATTGCCTTGGGTACCTGGAGTTATACCCCCCATAGCTAGTCCCCGAACGCCTTGTATCCACTGAGCAACGCCGTCTTGAGCAAGTCTGAGCAGTTTAACCTGGAGTCAGCCAGCAAATCTGGCAATCTAACCAGTTTAACTGGTAATCCAATCAACAAAACAAAGTGCCGATCAGTTTAACTGGTAATCCGACCGGTGGAAATTGAAGCCAGCTAATTTATCAGGTGACCTGATCTCGGACTTAGCCAAGTAAGGCTTGCCAGAATGATGTAAGGAGCTGAAGTTTAAAATTTAAAAATTCTCCACCTTAGGTGAAGTGTACACACTTAGGCTATGTTGGTGAAGTCAGATAATCATCATCCATGACTTATGCAAAAAGAATATTAGTACTGATGTATGCGCCGCAAGGTGTAATATATACATTGTAGTCTCCGAGCCTGATAGTAGGTGAAGAAGACACCTGGTGTCAGGATCAAAGAATTTCAACGATCACTTAGTCAAAACAACCAATTCCCAGCTTAGCCGAGCACACAACTAGTCCCCAGCTTAGCTGAAAAAACCAGTAAGAAGAAAAACAGTACATTCACCGCAAGGTGAAGTGTACACATTTAGTCCCCGAGCCTGCTGTAAGATAGAAAACATCTTGTACCAGGATCAAAGAATTAAGTGTCAAGGACGAAATCCCCGCACTTAGCACTTGACATCTGGAGTAAAACTTGATAATATCGAGCAGTAAAACGTGGAGAAAACGAAAAGTGCTTAGCACTAGATTGCTACGATAGATATACTTATCAAAGCCCCTGATGTGCCGCCCAAGATCAGCAACCTGATCTAGACAGCATGGAAAACCTTGATATCACACATGACATGCAGCGTCGGCAAAACGTATTAAGCCAACAAGCGAATCGGCAGACGAAGTCCCCAGCTTAGCTGGCAAACCCCTAGAGTAACTAACCATGAAACAATAGACAATCCAACCAGTTGATTGGAGAAGAATCAGGTATGAGCAGCCCAACCAACTGGTCGGCGGCGAAGTGAGCGCCGAGTAAAAGTGAATGCCGAAAGGTCCGTCCAACTGGTCGGCGACGAAGTCATGAACCTAGTGGCCCGACCAGTTGATCGGCGAAGAATTTCGAAGGCCAAATGGTGCGACCACCCAGACGATGATCCTGCAATACAAATATATAGGACAGGTAGTACATGATTTAAAAATAAAATATATGAACTCGGTGATGAAGAAAATAGAGCGGAGTTTATCATGGATTGTATCGGTGAATTTTATATCCTACAGAGCAGTTTATGTTTATTTGGAGTTTATTCATAATTGTATAAAGGACTAAATCTCCGTGCTTAGCACTAGACATAGGAGTAAAATTTGGAGAGTGTTGAGCACTTAAAAATAGAGAGAGTACTTAGCAATTAACCGTGGTGAATTTTGGAGAGTGCTTAGCACTATACCATGGCGAAATTGGAGAACATGGAGAGATTTGGAGAACATGGAGAGTGCTCAGTACTATACCGTGGCGAACATGGCGAAATTTAGAGAACATAGAGAAATTTGAAGAACATGGAGAGTGCTTAGCACTATACCGTGGCAAACATTGGCGAACATGGCGAAATTTGGAGAACATGGAGAAATTTAGACAACATGGAGAGTGCTTAGCACTATACCATGGCGAACATGGAGAATATTAGAGATCATTGGAGAACATGGAGATCATTGGAGAGTGCTTAGCACTTAACCGTGGCGATATTGGAGAACATGGAGATCATTGGAGAGTGCTTAGCACTTAACAGTGACAAAATTGAAGAACATGGAGAGTGCTTAGCACTATACCAACGAGACATGCGGGGTCATTCTATCCCAAGATTCTTGTGCACGCTTAGGAATATGGGCATCACCGAGGAGCCACTGCCGCCCGCTCATGACGCAGGGCGCTCCTGCTCGTGCATGTTTAGGTGCTAAGTCGAGGACAGGGCTACTTCTGGATAACGCAAATGAAAACGTGACTGGTCGGCGGCGATGAAATTGCCAAGCCCTCGAGCTTTTCTGGCCTGTCGTTATGACGGCGGTCGCTGTTCACAACGCCGTTCTTCGCGGCGATCATCATCGTGGCGCGGCGCGGCTTGCTTATGACTCAGGCGGCTCGCTTAGCAGCTTGCTTGGTGGCTCGAGTGGCTCGGCGGCTCAGCGGCACGGCGGCTCAAGCAGCTCGGCGGCAGGAGCGGCTCGGCAGCATGGTGGCTCAAGCGGCTTGACGGCTCGACGGCACGGCGGCACGAGCGGCTCGGCGGCTCGGCGACACGGCGGCTCGATGGCACAGCGGCTACGCAGATTCGTAGGCAAACGGACGTAATCGGAGCCTGGCGGAGTCAATTCGTGTGGGGAGGCGAAGCCCTTGAGCGTGTCCGACCGAGGCGAGGGCGCAGTCCGATTTGAATGGCGATAGTATACGTCATCTTAAAGATGTTTAACGTGGAGAAATAAGTAATTTGAGAAAAATTATGAAAAACAAATGGGGAAAGCACAGGACCGCCGCTGCTGTTGACAATTATCAAGGTAGACAAAGTTATATATATATATATATATATGTTAGAATATTCAATGGAAAAAACCATGACTTAACTCGTTTGTATTGATAACGTTGGAGTCACGTTTCGTGAGTGTAGATCGGTAACAAGAAAATTTATTTCTTGCATGCATGCTCGAGGGTCGTCCTTTGCTTGTTGACGTTGATCTCAGTGAAAATCACAATACATCGCCGTGAGTTGCCTCGTAATGTCGAGTCGATAGCGAAGACGAAATTATGTGGCAGCACTTGATTGAAGCGGCAGACAGATATGATCTCCCAAGGCTGACACTGATTTGTGAACAAGAGTTGTGTGCATACATCAACACAAGCACGGTGGCAACTATTCTTGCGCTAGCTGAGCAGCACCATTGCCGAGTGCTCAAGGAGGCGTGCTTGGATTTCCTCAAGTCTCCTACCAATCTACAGGAAGTAATGGCGCTCGACGGCTTGGACCATTTGGTTAGTAGGTGCCCCTCTGTTTTGAAAGATGCCATTAGGAAGCTGAACACTGGGGATTCCACTGCATTTGCTCAGCCGACTTTTGTGGTGCCAAAATCTGATATGCACCTGGAATTTTTGTCTCTCCTCGAGTCCAAAGAGAGAACGGATGTGACATTTCAGGTCAGTGGTGAGACGATCTGTGCACACCGGTGTCTTCAGAGCTGAGTTCTTCGGCCCGATGAAGAAGGACACAGCCTCCGATGTCATACGCATAGACGACATACGCGCTGTTCGTTTGATCGTAAACGATCGTAAATTTCCAGCTAGAACAGTATTTTTCTCTCACACAAAACCAGCCAGCAGTAATAATCCACGATCATATACGATCGTTTCAACTCCAGCCGAACAGGTTGATAGAAGCAAGAGTGTTCAAGCTCTTGCTTACATTCATTTACACTGATACCGTGCCAATTATGAAGAAGAGAAAACAGGGAGAGAGAAATGATGGCGATGCTAATGTGATGTGGCAGCAGTTGCTTGTGGCAGCAGATAGGTATGGTGTCCAGGGGCTGAGGCTGGCGTGCGAAAGAAGGTTGGGCAGCTACATCAACACGAACACAGTGGCTACCATCCTTGCGCTAGCTGAGCAGCACCACTGCCGGCGCCTCAAGGAGGAATGCTTGGACTTCCCTGCTCATCTCAAACAAGTTATGGCGGTCGGTGGTTTGGACCATCTGAGAAGCATCTGCCCGTCTGTCCTGATAGACCTCGTCGCCAAGCTCACGGCACTTAAGCATAATAGATAACTGATGGTATAATCACTGGTAATGTTCTAGTTTTCCTCGAGAATGTCGTTTTTATGCAATGTTATGGTTTCATTCAGAGAAATCAGTTTCCTTTCTGTTGGATATGCAGGACCAGAGTAAGATGGATCAACTAATTACTGATGAAGCTAATAGTTGGAAACCAAAATGCTACGGAATGAAGCATATTTTGGATCCTGTTGGTCATTGTTTTCTACTAGTAGTAAATGTTATTATGACTGAGTTTTTGTTCCCTGTTTCGTTGGATAGTACCCAGAGTCTTGTGTTTCGTAGAGATGAGCTAGCATAGTAGTACTAAGTCAGGCTTAAGTTCTCATTTCCAGTATCTGTTGCGTTTAAGCTCTGTTCCAGCTCAATCTGGTTTGATTTGCAATCTTAATTTTCCCATCTCCCTACTGTTTTGGCTTCTTTCAATCACAGCAAGCATCCTTGCGCTGGCCGAAAACGAGAAGCGCCACGGCCGCGGCGTGTTTAAGCGCTTGTTTGGTTTGACCCAACGTGATGGCGGTTGAAGCGCCTCAAGGAGCAGCCGCGCCCGAGCCGTCGCCGCAGCGGCGGTGGCGTTCGGCAGCAGCTCCGGCAGGGCGGTGGGGAGCCGTCCGTCGGAGTCGCTGCTTGATGGGAGCCATGGGAGTCCTGTGGGCTCTTGGCCTCGGCTCTGCCCACTTCGATCCATGGGCTGATTTTGTCAGGGCCGGACCGTGTTCGTGCTGATAAAAAGACGCTCGCCTTGCAGTTCTGCAATGTAATACGTAATAATTATTAGTGCCGTATTGGTTTTCTAACCACGTAGAACCTGGCTGAAATAACGACACTACAGTCCGTAATCCAGAGTTGGGAGGAGGGGTAATTGGGCCTGAGCCGTGACCCAGAGAACCACTTGTAGAGCCCGAGTCAGCGCTCGTTCTGACATCGAATGCTCATCTCATGGCGATTGGTCATTGCTTCTATCTACTACTAGTCAGGGGCCGGACAAATATGATAATACCTATGTATGATAATTGTGTATACGTTAGTGTATGTTTTTAACAGTTTTTCAATGTTTTTATATATCTAGTTTTATTCATAATGAAAAATCATAATTTTACAATAAAAATGCATGGATGAATTGGTGCCTTAATATGCTTGCAAATTACAGTTTGTAAACCCCCCCCCCAAGGTTCTGCCACCGCTACTAGTAAATGTTATTATGCCTTGAGCTTTTGAGCTTTTGCACCCTGAGTTTGTGTTTCGTAAAGAGGAGCTAGTATATCACTACTAAGGAGTAACGCTTAAGTTATCATTTCCGAAATTCTGGTCGGTATATGTTGCGTTTAAGCTCTGTCCAGCTCAAACTGGTTTGATATGCAACCTTAATTTCCCCTCTCTCTCTACTGTTTTGGCTTCTTTTCAATCAGCAGTTCAGCACTGCTGTCAGGTATTAGGCTAATGCTATAATGTAAAAAAACAAGTTCTGTGAGTATATTATATATTGAGACATTAAGTCTTTGCTCATTCTTGATCTCCATGTTTCTGATTCTCATTTTGTCTTGGCAAGAATGTATTGATGCCACCTGCAAGCACGATTAGACGGGCCGAGCACTGTTGTTAGGTGTCAGAGTAGATGGCCAACATGCACAGCGAGCATGTCTAGGGATTACTGCAATTTCGAGGTTTGGGGATTGAGGTGAGAATCAGGTGGTAGTTCACGACCGTCCGTGAAATTACGAATCATGGACCCACATGCTAATTTCACGCTGGAACACTATATCAACCAATAGACTGACAAAACTGCTTTGGACCGAGATTAGGGTACTTAAATAGTTTAGGATCTAGGTATGTAATTTTATAGTTTGAGGACCTGGTCAAGATGACTCCTGCTAATTGTCATTGTGTCCTTAAAGTCTTAAGTAGAAGAAGACAGCCAAATAGACGTACTTAAGTATATAACAGAGTAATAAGTGAAATATTATAATGCAGTTGCATGCAAACAGCGGAAACAACAGCAGTACTCATTTGAAACGGCCAGATGAGCTAAACACAAATGCTAATTAAGTTCTGTAATAGTGCGTTGAAATATACTCCTAGCATCATCAGGCTGGAAGCTAGAATAAAAAAAAATAGCTAATGCAAGTCGTGGCATAGATGAATGCATGTAGATGTGCGTGCGGTAGTGGCAACTTTCAAGTGTGCATGCATGCTACTCTATCCGAGCAGGGGGCGGCGGCGCCCAAGATGGCCCTAACGTGGCTCTGCCAGTGGACTTGGATAAGAATGGTATAATATTTAGGAACCGAGTGTGATTTACTCATAAATAAATTAGTTCCAAACAACTCTAGTTTATAAATAGATATGTAACTTTTTTTACAGAGAAATGGTACTAGCTTCATGTTTTCTCGATTTAAAATAAATTCAACCCGGTTTTATAGTTGAAAGATGAAATTCGGACTACCGTGCAAGTTAGAGATTGAAAAATGGACTTTACCCTAACTCAACATTATGTATGTTGTTTAAGAAACATGCAGAGTTTCTAACTAATGCGATACAAAAATACTACTTCCTTTGTTCTAATTTTTTATTATGTATATAGACATATCGTATATCTAAGTGTATAGAAAAATCAATGTACCTAAATAAGTCAAAACAACTTACAATTTGAAATGAAGGGCGTATAATTGTAGAAGACATACTATATGGGCTTACCATCAATATTTCACTATATCAACACATGTGTATTTTACTAATAAATTTAAAAGATTTTAAGTACTCCATCCATCCATGAATAAATCAACTTATGGAGTTGTCCTGATTCAAACTTTTTAGGTTTAAGAGAATTCTAAAGAAAATAGACTAATTTTTATTGGAAAAATTAATATATTTAGATATAACTTGAAATATATTTTCATGCTATATATATATATATTTTACATCATAGATATTAGTACTTTTTGTTAAAATTGATCAAATATAAAATAATTTAGACATAGGACAACTCTAGAAATTTAATTTACATAGACGGAAGGACCAGAGGAGTATGTATTTATAGAAGAAGTATTCCCTCCATTTCAAATTATAACACATTTTTGTTTTTTCTAAAAAACGTCTTACAATTTTAAATGGAGGGAGTATCAGTGATCAAACATACAAATTGAAAACTATACAAACCCTGGGCCAGTTAGGCAAGTCGTTATTAATGGGCCAGCACCGACTCATTTCTAATCAGCCAAGCCCATGCCCAACCTAATCTCCTACGGTCAGAGTCCCGAATTCCCCTATTTGAGCAATCCCGATCGTCCAATCACCCAATCCCATTCCCATCTATCTACCTGAAACTAAGACCCTAGCGGAGTTGCGGGCTTGTGGCGGCCGGCGGCAGGCAGCAACTTCGCCTGGCCTGCCCTAGATCGAGCAGTGCAGCCCTAGAAAGCAGTAGGGTTAGGACAGCGGCACGTGCTTCACAAGTGCGGCTCTGCGGTTTCAGGAGGCCAGCAGCTAAAGGATTGTTCATCAGCGCGTGCCCTGCTTGCCTGATCCATCACTTCCATTCTTTCACGTACGGGCATCAAGCCATCAACAAGGTGCCGATCGAGGTCTAGAATTACTATTGCTCCAGTTTTTTCTATGCATTCGTGAATTTCTAGTATTCACCTGTGATTAATGGTTTTTCAATATTCATCATCATTCATCCTTACATTTGGAATCTAATGGAGAAATGTTTATTTGAGCTGAGAAGTATAGAATAGGCAATTCCGTAGTTCTAGTTAATTTTCCTCTTTGAAGCTAAGTGCGGACTGACAAGCATTGCCATCATATGAATTCCATTGTGAAATCAGGGCCGGGCCATGTCATTCTGTGGAGTATCCTTCGTTGGAGACAGCTGTCTGCCGCCATCTACCTCCTCCACACCCCTCCTTGTCGGCGGGTACCACCTGCTCGTGGTCAATGGCTACTCACGCACAAATCAGGACACCCCCAACGGCAAGTGCATACGGTCAAACCACTTCAAGCTCGGAGGCCATCGCTGGATCATCGAGTACTACCCTAATGGCTACGAACAGGAGAATACCGACTACATATCCTTTTATCTCGTTCTCGACGAGTACAGCATCGTCGAGCCTGTCGTGGCGCAGTATGTGTTTAGCTTCCTTGGTCAGGTTCAGTCGCCGGAGTCATCGTTGCTCATCGGCGAAAGGGGAGCGCACGGTTTCTCTAGCACGGACGCATATAGTTTCGCCTGTTTGATGAAGAGACAGAGCTTCGAGAAGTCGAAGCATCTCAGGAACGACAGTTTCACTATCAGGTGTGACGTCTCCATCACTAAGAATGTCAACATCGGGGAAGCAGGCGCCGCCGTGCGGTTTGTTCACGTGCCTCCTCCTGACATTCAGCATCACCTCGGTAGTCTCCTCCTGTCACAGGAGGGCACCGACGTGACATTTCAGGTCGGCGACGAGACGTTCATGGCGCACCGGTGCGTGTTTGCGGCACGCTCCGCTGTCTTCAAGGCCGAGCTCTTCGGCGCCATGAAGGAGGGGACAGCAGACACCGTCGTGCACATCGACGACATGGACGCGAAGGTATTCAGGCGGTTGCTCGGTTTCATGTACACCGATTTCGTGCTGGAGTTTGAAGAGGAGGAAGAAGAGGATATGTGGCAGGACCTGCTTGTGGCAGCGGATAGATATGACGTCCCGAGGCTCCGACTGATCTGTCAACGCATGTTGTGCCCATACATCAACACGGATACGGTGGCAACTATGCTTGAGCTCGCTGACAAGCACCATTGCAATGGACTGAAGGATGCATGCTTGGATTTCCTCAACTCTCCGGCAAATCTGCAGGAGGTAACGGCAGCTGGTGGCCTGAATGATCTGACTATCAGCTGTCCTGCTGTCCTTATAGAGCTTATCGCCAAGCTTACGTCGTCGCTTAAGCTTGATAAATGATAGTATGTGGTACACTGATAGGTTTTATTAGGTTTATTTACGAAAAAAAGTCGTATTTTCTTTACAATGAGAGATCACTGTATTACGATGTCAAGTATAATTATTCTCTGCATGTACACTCGCAGATCCGCACCGAGAGATGTTATTGTTATTTGATTTTTTTCAGTTTATGTTTATGTTGGCTCCATTCCAAATTAAATCAAGTTGTAAATATGTCCTAAGTGTGAAACTATTTTAAGTTTAGTCAAATTTAAAGAAAGAGCGTCGTCTCAAAAAAATTACAGAAAGAGCATCAATATTAGTGATAATAAATTAATATATATGACACTATCACTGGGTAAATCTTGAAATATATTTTCATAATGTATTCATTTTGTTTTCGTAGATGTTATTATCTTTTCTAATAAAGATGATGAAACTTAAGACAGTTGAAGCTAGGTTGACTTTAAGGTTGGATTATTTTGGAACGGAGGGAGGGAGAATATACACGCGTAAATCTGGATGCGCAAGAATATACACGCATAAATCTGGATGCGCAATCCAGTAAGACATTGTTCGGTTCTCCAGCAATCATGCCCTAGAACAATTCCTACCAAGAATGCTTGCTTAATTTATATAGCCTTTGATGAGCTGAAACAATTCCTGGCTAAATTCCTATCTAATCGGACAAGTCCTAAAAAAGGTAGGGATGCAAGTGGCGCGGGCTTACCCGCAAGACCACTTCACCCACCCCACTTATCACTTGTAGAAAACTTATTGGTCAATGCGGCAGAGCACGTTTCATCTCTGCCAGCTCCTCTCACAAGTTCCCGGCCCGTGAAGGATTTTGTCACCCCCAGGTCTTATTGCAAGAGCAACTCCGTGATTCAGTTGTTTGTCGCCCTAACGCTCTTAATTAGCAGCCATGTTTGTCAATTCATGAATAACCTTGTGAAGTCGTCACTACCGGAGGCGGCTTCTTTGCCGAGTGCCTCAGGCACTCGGCAAAGGCCGATATACACTCGGCAAAGCCTTTGCCGAGTGTTACACTCGGCAAAGGGTGCTCGGTAAACAGTTGATCGGCAAAGACCTCTTTGCCAAGTGCACTTTATCGAGCACTCGGCAAAGCCTTTGCCAAGTGCTAATCTGACACTCGGCAAAGAAAAGTCGCCGTGATGGCGAGCGCCACCCTGACGGCGGCTTTGCCGAGTGTCAAGGTCAAGCACTCGGCAAAGGTCGCCTCTTTACCGAGCGTCGTTGACTCAAACACTCGGCAAAGCTGGCCACTGTGCCGAGTGCCACCGGCAAGACACTCGGCAAAAAGGCGACCTTTGCCGAGTGCCTGGCCGTGGCACTCGGTAAAGCTGTGATGTTTGCCGAGTGCAATGGTCTTTGCACTCGGCAAAGCATGTGATTAAGAAAAATTATTAGTTTCTATTTTGATTTTCAGCATATCATATAAAGCAGTGATAACATCTAAAGTTACTTACTTTTCCCCCTCGGGTCGAATCAGCGGGCGTCTCTCATGAGGTATCGGTCGCTGAGGGAGGCTCGTGGGACCTCGCAAGTAGACGCTCGACGAACTAGAGGAAGCGGAACCCCCTGCTGTCGCCTCCTCCTCCTCGTCCTCCTACGCCTCCTCAGCGTCCTCCTGCGCCTCCTCGACGTCCTCCTGGGGCACCTGCTCCTCCTCCTCCTCCTCACGCGACGGGGCGGCAGGCGACGGCTCCCTCCTGCGGCTGCTCCTCCTTCTCCCACCGTCCACCATCTTTTTGTAGTGTGCAAATGCTGATATTCATGGGAATAATTCCTGAGTTGATCAACAGTATTTCGATAGATAGTAGTTTTGACTAGAACTTATATATGTAGCATTCGTATCACTCCATAGATCGAAATCTAACTACAACATACCGAATCTAGTACTGAACGCGACTGAATCTAGTATGCATATTTTCCAGCATGATGACTGGTGATGATAACATTGTATATTCTGTTCCATGCACACGCATGTGCGGAGGGAACTAGCTGCAGATGACGGCCATGGCTCATGGACGTGTCATCACAGACCCGGCTTTGATGCGATGCCATTGGAAGATCGGTTCTTCTACTTGCAGTGAACGACGATGGTGACACACGCGAGAGCACTCCAAGGCCACTCACCATGGATAACTGTTTACTAATTCTTTTTGGATGATCTTGTCCTTGTACTGAAGATGACAGGTTAATTAATTAAATCCAAAAGGTATATATCTCCACAACACGAGCTAAAGCTTTGAACATGGCCCCTTCTTGTTTACAGCTAGCTGGAGCATGCATGGCCTCCTTCTTTGTTACAGGTGGAGCAAGGATCATGGTCTTTTGATATCTTCAGAAAAGGGGGTGAAAAAGAAAAGGATACCAACGAGATGAGTCATGCATGCGCAGGATCAACATGAGAGCGGATTGGAAAGTGTCATGTTCTGACTAAAGCGAATTAATTTCTACATCCTAAAAAAACAAAGAGAAAAAGGGATAGCACTAGTGTTAAAAGCAAAAATCTCTGGATGACAGGAAGCTGCTACTTGCATATATGGGATGGATCGGATGATCGGCAGTCTTGCTTTTTGAGGTTGCTACTTTTCCTTTCCTTCCGCGTTGAGATGAGTAGCTTTATTTGGCTGGCAAGATAGCTTTTTTTGCGATTTGATGGTGCTGCTGCCTGCTAAACTGGTCGATCAAATGGTCCATGCTAATTACACGGATTTCATTTCATTTATGGAATCGTGTAGGATTACGTTCAACTAATACGGAACTACTTTTTTTTCCAAGCAATACAGAAGTCAAGAAGTGATTTGGGACACAGGGGGATTACTTTCTAAAAAATTCACATTGCTGAGAAACTCCAGCAGTCTTCTACACTGTGTCTCATGTTGGTTTAGAAGATTCCCCTAATTAAAACCATTTTAGCATGTACAGAGAACTACTGCAGCCGACTACCTATTGCTTCTTCTGTATTTCTTCATTTCCTTCCATTTCCATTCCCTTTTGCATACACATCCATTCTAAATTCCACGACATAAGTCCAATTTTGTAAAAAGGTATTGTTAATAGGTAGAGCATAAACTGGTGAAAATAGAAGAATTCATCTCAAGTCATTTTGAGCTATAATTATCTTTGTAAAAATTCCACAAGTTCTTGAGTTGTCAGGTACTAGCATGCATCAACTAATAACTACTCCATCCTCCCGGAAAAAAAAGCAAGACACACTATAGGATTAGTAGGACATGTTAGTGGTCAAGCAAAATGAATCAAAGGATTAGACCAGAGCTGGTGCCGAGGACAATCCACGCGACGTCCACCACGAGCTGCTTACGCCTCCTCCTCCTCCTCCTCCTCCTCCTCCTTCCTCCTTCTTCCTCCTCTCCTCCTCTCCTCCTCCTCCTCTCTTTCTCCTCCACCTCCGGCGGCGGCACTGGCGCTGGCGCTGGCAAGGGCGCGGGCACGGGCGGGTGCGTGTGTGCGGTGTGTGTGGGTCGGCTGGGCCGGGAGGTTAAATCCCCCCTTTGCCGAGTGCCCCCGATTTGGCACTCGGCAAAGTTTTTTTTTTTTTAATTCTTTGCCGAGTGCCACCTGGTCTGACACTCGCAAATAGTTTTTTTTTTAAAATGTTTGCCGAGTGCCCTCGGACTAACACTCGGTAAATAGGGGTTTTTAAATTTTTTAAAAAAAAATCTTTGCCAAGTGTCATACGTCCTGGCACTCGGCAAAGCGGTGATTTGTCGAGTATCATTTTTTGACACTCAGACAAACTATATTTTTTTCACTTTTGACTTCAAAACTTTTTCTGCAGTGCTCATACAATACCTGGTACTCCATGTTCCAATGTGGCACATTTCTCGGAATTTTTCTATATTTCTTTAATTTATTTCATTTAATTGAATTTTCTTGGATAGTTCAAATTATAACTGCTAGTCATTCGAATAATAGAAAAAATGAATGGAGAAAAAATGAATGGAAAAATGATATTCATGTTATTTAGTATAATGTGAGGCCGTATCCAGGACTAGACCATCAATTTTGAATATCTTGTTCACGAAAACTGACCACGAACTTACGGTCAAGTTGTTTTTAAATTCTATAAAAAGCAAACGAAGTCCGAAAATCATGAAACTTGTCAAGATGTCATGATATCATATGTGGAGGCTGTGATAAAAATTTGAGAAGGTTTCGCGCAAGTTGTCACGTACGATGCTTGCAAACCGAAGAATCTTCGAAGAAGTTTCATGATTTCGTGAAGAGACCGACAAGGTGGTAAGCTGCAGGCTGGATGACATCGTCGGTGCATGCCGCGGGACCGGGCGGGTCGGAGTCGTGGATCTGACGAGTTCGAGGTCGCCTCCTTGGCATTTTTCTTGAGCCCCCGAGCTCTATCGGGCCTTCGTGGGGGTCGATGTGAGTATTGTGCGTTACCCCATCCTCGGTTCCTCACAACCGGAGGGGCTGCGTTTCGTCGCCTGTCCCAATCGCTTGAGCTCGAAGACTAGCTCGGCGAGTTCGCTAACGGGTGTGATTGAGTGAAATCCGGTTATGTCGTTCGTGATGGGGTCGGCATAGCTCTCTTGTGACATTCCACTACTCCATTACCAGCAACCCAGTAGATGCCTAGGTCATTCTGGAGACCGACCTGGGTGGCATGATGGCCTCCCCTCGATGGAGATTCTGTGAGTTTGGCGAGAGGTTCAGGATCGAATGAGAAGTTTGAGATGACTCGGTCTACCGGACCAAGCTAGGGCCGCACGGTGCTCATCTACGGTTTTCTCCCCTGGCTCTGTTGGTTGCTCATGTCGAATGAGGCAACCGCCGCTTCGTGACGCAACACAGAGCGTTCTGATGCATTTCGCCGATGCTTAGTTCCCGAGCCCCCGGGCGGTTCGTGCCCTAACCGTCCGGGGGGTTTCAAGCGTATGGAATGAAATGCGCGTATGGCTGTATGAAATGAATTAATAATGAAATAGAGGGGGTTTTGATAGTGTTTACCTTGA